GTTTTTTAAAATGTTGTAGATTTAAGTAGCAAATGAGAATCGCTAAAATTAATGCATATATTTTGAGACAAAGGTCTTCTTAATGATTTTTGTTTAAGATAATTCAAGCAACAGAATTTAGATAGCGAAAGAATATGTAAAAGTATGGTATTTTAGCCCCCTGCTGTTGGGGCTAAAGGCGCAGTAATTAACATGATAATTAATAGATGGCTGACTTTTCCATGTTGACATGACATGGTTAGATTCAGATGGTAAATATCATATATTATGTTGGGTGTCCATATTAGAGATAATCACCATGTTTAGAATGAAACCATCATATTTAAAAACATGATATTAATCATATCATATATAATAAAATATAATTTGTTGTTACCACTGTAAATCTATATTCGATTATTATTGGATCTCCTTCGATACTTTCAGAATCTTTACTTATTAGAACGATTTTGTTTCTGTATTTTAAAATATATATTTTATATTAACTTATTTTAATGACAGTATATTTATTGAACAAAAATTGATTCTTATATTTTTGAAAATAAGCAGAAAATAGTACAAACTTTGCTAAAGTGATTGTTTTGAACAAGTATTAACTTAGACATTATTAAAAAGCATTATTATAGCTGAAGTGTTTGTATAAATACCGTGTGTGGGGTAAAAGGCCGCTCTTGATACCTCATACATTTATAAGATTTTTAAACAAAATAAACAACTTGAATGATTTATTTTCACACAAAATCTGTTGCTCCATTAATGTTCAATACAACGTATATATTGTTTCTGCAATTATACATTTTAGGCACATTTTTTCTTAAGGTAAAGATCTTAAAGATAAATCATCTTTAAAGTTGTCCAAATGAAGTTCTTAGCAATGCATATTACTAATCAAAAATTACGTTTTGATATATTTACGGTAAGAAATTTACAAAATATCTTCATGGAACATGATCTTTACTTAATATCCTAATTACAGTACAGACAGTTAACACACTGAACCATCTTTTTTTAATTTTTTTTTTTATCAGATTTAAATCTCGTGTTTTATTCAGACTGACAAATTTTATATATTTTTTTTATTTTCTTTGGAATAAGTGTAAATGTTGTATGAATACAGAGCTGGGTGGTAACTGATTGCGTTGTCTGGATTACATAATCAGATTCTACTTGTAATTAGATTAAATTACATTTTAAAATACTCGTAATCAGGCTACAGTTACTTTATTATGGATTACATGATTGCATATTATTTACACAATAGCAATAGTTTATGCATAATTTATTGATTCTCCCTAATTCCTCTTTTTCATCTTTTAAATGTTCCTTTCTAAAATAGCCTACCGCTTGTATACAGTCAGAAAGTCCAGTGTTGTGGACATTCACACAGAGATCAGTCACAGGTGGATACACAGCATCTGGCCTCTGGATTTACAAAAATCATACAGGTTTAAGAAGTGTTTCGACACTGCATCAACTACTGATGAACACATTCATTTTTATTTGAATTATCGCTCAGTTGGTTATTTTACCTTGCTTTTGTTTGTCTTTCAAACACATTAAAATGCCCAAAATTCACCAACCTTTTTGTCATCTGATCCTCTTTCACCTAAAATATTTTTATTTGAAGTACCCCTGAGATTTTAAAAGAAATATTTTAATAATGAAGTATCACATTTGCATGTTCATGGTTCTCAGACGTTGGTTAATGGTCACATGACATGCAGGTAAACCAATAAAATGTTAAATTTTTTCAGTAAGTGTTTTATTTTGATTCATTTTCAAATTTAAAATTCGTTTGAATTTGACTTTTTTAATGATTTAATTAATTATTAGCTTTTCATTAAACTCATAAACCCCCTGCACCTTCCTTCACAAACCCAGTTTAGGAAACTTGATATAATATATGCACTTTTAATGCACTTCATGTCGTTAATAACAACAAATGGAATATATTTTCTTACTCTTTGTATTTTTATCAAAATGGTACAAGATATTTAAATCAATGTGAAAAATGTGCTCAGTCAAAAGTAGGGTTGCAAAAGGGGTGGAAAACTTCTGGTAAATTTCCGGAAACTTTCCAAAAATCCCTGGAATATTCCGAAAAATCCTGGAAAGTTTCCAAAATTTCTAGAATGTTTCCGAAAATTTACTGGAAATTTTCCACCTTTTTGCAACCGTAGTCAAAAGTAATCCAAACTATTCTAAAAGTAGTCTGATTATATTACTTAAGATGTGTTATATATGTACTGTATGTATAAGACATCTGACTGACAGTTTCTTCTTATAAATGTGTGTGTGTGTGTGTGTGTGTATATATACATACACAGACATTTATATATTTTGCACTATATATAGTGCAAAATATATAAGTGTGTGTGTGTAAATAAATGTATGCTATGCTCTAATAATGATTGATTATACCAGGACAATCATTTGTCATAATGTTTGGCAATTTGTGTTTATCATTTCAGAGCATGTGTGTCTTTTGGACCACGAAATCGATCTATTGGAGCGGCAGCTAAAAGCCAGGTATGTGATGTATAGACCTTAGGTTAGATGCCGTTTTTAACTGAACACGGATGAAAGTGAGGCTGTGACTGATAGATTCCAGTCTTTACGATTGTACACACACACTGTAAGGCCCTAGATCTCATAATTTTCACAGCTTTCAAAACTGTTTATGCCATTTTCATCAACTGAACAACATTGCAATCCATTGAACACATCTACTTCTGTACTTCACAGCCTTATTTTCGTTCCTGTCAAAAATTAAACATGTGACCCTGACTAAGCTTTATCCTGCTGCCTTCATGCGGTCTTCGTATTTGTGCTCATGCAAGATTTACTCACGTTTTTTCGTTCCAACTGAAACACAGGTGGTCACCAATTGCAAAAACACTGTCCAAGGATTCAAGCGTTTCCATGGTCAGGCGTTCTCCGATCCATTTGTCCAGAACTTGAAGTCCAGTCTCGTTTATGACCTGTCACAGATGCCATCGGGCACGACGGGCATAAAGGTGAGCAGCTAAAAGTGAGACAAGATCAACAAGAAACCCAGGATTCAGTTGGCACGCGCAAACACATCACATTGTGCCAGCATTGTTCAGAGGTCTAGTTTTGGCAGCAAAACCTTCTTGTAAAGCCGAGTGCAGAGTTCTGTTGTGCAGTGAATGTGAGGGCGATGGTGAGCTGTTCTTGTCCTTTAGCACTCGTGTGTTGTATGTTGCAGGTGATGTACATGGAGGAGGAGAAGGTGTTCAGCATTGAACAGATTACTGCGATGCTCCTCTCCAAACTCAAGGAGACTGCTGAGAGCGCCCTCAAGAAACCCGTCGCCGATTGTGTCATCTCTGTGAGTGCAAAAATTATTATCCCTAAAGATGTTGCATATAATTGGTGGGTTTGCAGACCGTGTCGTCCTTCGCAGGGCTCAACAGTGTGAGCGTTTCACTAGCGTTTGCCACTAATAATAGATATGTGAAAGCTGTATTTAGGAGAACGTGTATGAATAAAAAATCCCCAGTTTTAAAATTAAGGTTATAAATACTTTAAATGGCATAACTAGTGTCTTGATCATTTTAATGCATCCCGGGCTTGTTTATAAATAAAAGTCATGCATTATGTATATTTTTTTCTCTCTGGTTATTATTTGGTTGCACTAACTGTATGTAATGCAGTTTTAATGAAATCATTTCATTCAAAGTAAACTATTGTCACTTCTATCCAGGATGCCCCGTCACAGGAAGGAAAGACAGAACATTATTTGACACATTATTCAGTGTATAGATTTGACTTGTATCAGGGTTATTAACTAAAACAATAAAAACATTTTTCATTACTTTAAATGTTTACTGAAATAAAATGAAATATTAAAAATGTAAACTTTTTTTCATTTTCTTGTCGTTTAACCCGATATACTAAACTAAAACTGAAATAGAAACTATAAAAAATATAAAAATTCATAAAATCTAAATATGTGACCCTGGAGCACAAAAGCAGTCATAAGTCGCTGAGGTATATTTGTAGCAATAGCCAAAAATACATTGTATGGGTCAAAATTATTGATTTTTCTTTTATGCCAAAAATCATTAGGATATTAAGTAAAGATCATGTTCCATGAAGATATTTTGTAAATGTCCTACTGTAAATATATCAAAACTTAATTTTTGATTAGTAATATGCATTGCTAAGAACTTCATCTGGACAACTTTAAATGCGATTTTCTCAATATTTAGATTTTTTTGATTTTCAAATAGTTGTATGTCGGCCAAATGTTGTCCTATCCTAACAAACCATACATCAATGGAAATCTTATTTATTCAGCTTTCAGATGATGTATAAATCTCAATTTCGAAAAATTTACCCTTATGACTGGTTTTGTGGTCCAGGGTCACATATTAAAAACAATAATAGTATCTACTAAAATACGGAAGTCCATTTCCGCCACTGAATGAAAAATAAAATAAGGTAATTTGTGACTTTTTATCTAACAATTCTGACTATTCTCAGAATTTTGAGATATAAACTCACAATAGCGAGTCCAATTCAGAGGGAAAAAAGCTATATTTTCTTAAAATTGTGAGAGTTTACATCTCACCGTTCTGAGAAAGGTCAGAATTATGAGATGTAAATTGCAATTGCGACAAAAAAAGTCAGAATTGTGAAATAAAACATCGCAATTACAGTTTTGTATGTATTATTCAGTGGTGGAAAAAAAAACACTGACTTGTATGGCAAAATCTGTGTGTGCACATTTCATATATATCTATGCTAAATGCGCTCCTAAATTTTTCAACTGAACCCTCAGATTCCAGATTTTCAAATAGTTGTATCTCGGCCAAATGTTGTCCTATCCTAACAAACCATACATCAATGGAAATCTTATTTATTCAGCTTTCAGATGATGTATAAATCTCAATTTCGAAAAATTTACCCTTATGACTGGTTTTGTGGTCCAGGGTCACATATTAAAAACAATAATAGTATCTACTAAAATACGGAAGTCCATTTCCGCCACTGAATGAAAAATAAAATAAGGTAATTTGTGACTTTTTATCTAACAATTCTGACTATTCTCAGAATTTTGAGATATAAACTCACAATAGCGAGTCCAATTCAGAGGGAAAAAAACACTATTTTCTTAAAATTGTGAGAGTTTACATCTCACAGTTCTGAGAAAAGTCAGAATTGTGAAATAAAACATCGCAATTAAAGTTTTGAAGATATTATTCAGTGGTGGAAAAAAAACACTGACTTGTATGGCAAAATATGTGTGTGCACATTTTATATATATCTATGCTAAATGCGCTCCTAAATTTTTCAACTTAGGAAAAAAGTAAGCATCATGCCATGTATGGTCGTTTTTCCCTCAGCCATAAATGAGTTATTGGAGACAGAAATCCACCTTAGATACTATGAATACTCTGATATCTCAAGTGAATGCTGTTTTCAATCCCAAGGTCCCCTGCTTCTACACCGATGCTGAGAGGAGATCCGTCATCGATGCGGCTCAGATCGCAGGACTCAACTGTCTGAGACTCATGAATGAAACCACCGCAGGTGAAGTGTTCAGGGTTTAACACGCCATTTCAATTGCAACACATCCACTTTCCGCTCTTGAATGACATGTGCGTTTGTTTGTTTGTTTTTGCATGCAGTGGCTCTGGCATACGGGATCTACAAGCAGGATCTTCCCGCTCCTGAAGAAAAGCCAAGGACAGTGGTGTTTGTGGATATTGGCCATTCAGGCTACCAGGTCTCTGTGTGTGCCTTTAATAAAGGCAAGCTTAAGGTGTGTGCCGATGACATTTATACCTTCAAAATGTGATCTGGACTGTTATGTGGAAATATAGACAGACAGCATTTTTTCCACCCGTACAGATTCTTGCTACAGCCTTTGACCCTGAAATGGGAGGAAAAGACTTTGATGAGCGGCTGGTCAGACATTTTTGTGAGGAGTTTGCAGTGAAGTACAAGCTGGATGTGAGGTCCAAGCCCAGAGCGTTGGTCCGACTCTACCAGGAATGTGAGAAGCTCAAGAAGCTGATGAGCGCCAACTCCTCTGACCTGCCCCTGAACATCGAGTGCTTCATGAATGATATTGATGTCTCAGGCAAACTCAGCAGGTATCTCGTCTTCTAATCTCTGCTGAAATTAAACGCAGTCACGTAAAAATGCTGTCGTCATATCACGTCGTTCCAAGCTTGTGTGATTTTCTTTGTTTCGAGGACCAGAAAAGCAGAATTATTTGACGAGTTTTCAAGCTGCTGTTTTTAATGGGTCAAAGAAAGTGATCAAAGGGCTGTCAGGATCCAGAATGCATCATTAAAGTTCAAGTAATCCATAAGACTTGTGTGCTACGTTACCAATCTTAAAGGGACAGTTCACTCAAAAATGAAAATTGTCATAATTTACTCAATCTCATGTCACATTCGAAACTCACAAGTCTTTTATTCATCTTCAAAAACACAAATAAAGATATGTTTTATGTCCCTCCATAAAGTCCATTATACCCAAACTTGCTTTAAAAATTCATAAAGACATTGTAAACATAATCTGTACGAATTGAGTGGTTTAATCCAAGAGTATGGCTTCGAGCATGTCTGAGCTTCTGTTTGTGATATTTAATGAGCTCTATGTATTTGCATATGTGTGTTGGTCAATGTTTATGTGTGAATAAATGTCAAAAATTCAATCAGTTTCATCAAATAAAGTGATTGTGTATCTTCAGAAGACTGTGATTAAACCACTCAATTCATGTGGATTTCTTTTAGAATAGAATAGAAGTTATTTTTTGAAGAAAAAATGAAATCTTGATATAATGGACTGATATCTCGCAGGTTTCTTCAAAAATACCTTCATTTGTGTTTCAAAGATGAACAAAAATCTGGTTTGTAATTACATGAAGTGATTACAATTTTTGGGTGAACTATCCCTTTAAGAAGATCACTCCAATTTTTGAATCTTGCCCATCACTCATATCTCATTTGCATATTCATTCTTGGGTCTAAAACCAGGGGAAAAAAAGTCAAAGTCATGACACAATCAATGTGTCATTCATTCATTCCCATCAACCTCAAAGGATAAAGGACTTTATCAAAGTTGCCATCCTGACAGTAGTTAATTTGAGCTTCATATGTTGTTTTATTCCTGTGGCAGGGCTCAGTTTGAAGAGATGTGTGCTGATGTTTTAGCTCGAGTGGAGCCTCCGCTGCGCAGTCTAATGGAGCAAGCTCGTAAGTAATGATCTTCATTGGATAGTAAGGCTATATGTCACAGAAATGATTAATTCGACCGCCTGTCACCTGCTCGCAGATCTGAAGAAAGATGACATCCATGCTGTAGAAATAGTGGGCGGAGCCTCAAGAATGCCAGCCATCAAAGAAAGAATCAGCAAGTTCTTTGGGAAGGAGCCGAGCACGACGCTGAATGCAGATGAGGCTGTGGCCAGAGGATGTGCCCTCCAGGTCAGATTACGTTTCCTCTGCTGACTCATAGTTCAACAAGACTGTGGGCCTGTTCAAACACACTTACGCTCTTGGCCACAGGAAGTGCGTGCACAAGACTGTCCCAGGCCTTAAAAACGCCAAAGTGCAGTGCCCTTAACACACACTTAATAAACACTTCAGAGAGGCATTCGAGGCTAATAGGGCTACAACAACTAATCGATAAAATCGATAATAAAAATCATTGACAACGAATGCAATTAACGTTTAGTCGTGTCTGCCCACCATGCACAGAAAACTTCTGCCAGTTGCGTCAGATTATACCACTGAATAACACATTTCTATGAAATCTAAATGAATCTAATAGTGGAAGAAACAAAGCGAGCTGCTTCGGGAAAGGTGCGTGATCCAAGCTGCCCAAAACATGCGAATGCTTTATTTTAAACTTCAAGCTGATATGATTCCTCGGCACAAAACTTTCATTTTAGGTTATACCTTGAATAATTTATTCAGAGATCGCCATGAAAATAGCCTTGATGCTGGCATGGCGTTAAAAAGTGAATAATTACATTTTCACACAAATGTTTCTATTTTGCATGAAGGCTCGTCCTGACAGTCTGTGTTAAACTTCAGAAGTTACTGAACACCGTAGAGAGGGAGAAAATTAATATGCAGCGCAAAAATATTCATTTTGCTGAAATATCTGTTATTGGATGTTAAATTTAGGTTTAAAAGTCAACATGTAATTTAAGAATTTTATGATAGTAACGGTAAAGGGATAACGGCGACAGTGTGTCATTGAATATAAAGACGTTCCTTACATTTACAGAATGAAAAAAATGACAGTAACAGGTTAATGTTTTCAGAGTGAAGGTGTGTGTTCATGCAGAACATTCCTCTCATCTGTTAACACTGAGTTTGTGTTTTTCTATATTATCTTCATTATTATCTCCATTTTTAGTGTAGGAATTCAAACTGTCCTTTGTCTATTTAAACTCTCCATTTAAACTGTGCTTTATAACTCATTCGCACACAATGTATGTAGCATAGATATAGATATATTCACCATACTTTTATGTATGTTTATAAAATTCAGTTGGCACTTCTGTTTGAAGGGCAGCATGTGGAAGTTGTGTATTTTGTCAATAAAAACAAAAAAGGCTTTTTATCTGATAAATCGATTAATCAAAAAAATAATCGTTAGTTGCAGCCTTAGAGGCTAAGCGTATCCCATGATGCATCTTGTGACAGAAATACATTGTGAGACTTTTTGCTGATATCTCGCGAGATGTTGAGGAAACCTTTCTGGTGCAAGTTAATAATAATTAGATATTACATATAATTTGGTAGTAAAACGTAAAGTGTTGGACATTTTATTGGTGCAAAGATGAGTATGCATATTTGTGACCCTGGATCACAAAACCAGTCATAAGGGTCAATTTTATACATCATCTGAAAGCTAACTATTTGAAAATCTGGAATCTGAGGGTGCAAAAAATCAAAATATTGAGAAAATCGCCTTTAAAGTTGTCCAAATAAAGTTCTTAGCAATGCATATTACTAATCAAAAATTCAGTTTTGATATATTTACGGTAGGAAATTTACCAAATATCTTCATCTTGGAACATGATCTTTACTTAATATCCTAATGATTTTTGGCATAGAGATTTTTTTTATCATTTTGACCCATACAATATATGTTTGGCTATTGCTACCAATACACCCGAGCGACTTATGACTGCTTTTGTGCTCCAGGGTCACGTTTTATACAGCACTTGCAACTGCTTTTAATCACTTAAATAGAAGCACCACAGTTACTAAATTGTCTTCTGTTATAGAGAATACTGAACAGACATTTAGAAGTTTATTTTAAAATGCAAAAGTATTGGAAATCAAAATAAAGTTCTGTAAATACTTGCATTTTTTATAACACTGTAAGTGAGTCCCATCGGGTAATGAAAAGTTCTGTGCACACTTGTGGTCTTCACACCCACTTGGGCCAAAAAAAAAGCATCATGTGGTCAAGTGCAAAGACTGCAGGTATTTGATAGCAGACCGTTAACACTGGCTCTGTCTCCTGATCCCACAGTGCGCCATCCTCTCCCCTGCTTTTAAAGTGCGCGAGTTCTCCATAACAGAAGTGGTTCCGTTTCCCATCTCTCTGAAGTGGAATTCTGCAGCTGAAGATGGACTCAGGTACAAACATGGGCCGTATAGTCGTCGTGGTTGATACTACCGTGTTTTTATTCACACTGCTTTTTCGTCTTTCGTTTCAGCGACTGTGAGGTCTTCCCAAAGAACCATGCAGCACCTTTCTCCAAAGTGCTGACGTTTTACCGGAGAGAGCCGTTCTCCTTGGAAGCATACTACAACTGTCCTAAAGAGCTCCCTTATCCAGATCCCATAATAGGTATACACACACACACTCTCTCTCTCTCTCTCAGGGTTCAAAAGTAACACTCACCAAGTGCCACATGTGAGTAAATATGGAGTTACTGGCCAATTTTTTATTTTACTTTATTTTATTTTATTTATTTTTTTAGAAATTACAAAATAGTGCATGATTTGAATTGCAGTCACAATAGTCTGATCCTCTTTTTCCTCTGGCATTAATGCCAGCATGAAATGAATCTTCAACCATTCTATATTGTACAAGCATGTTATTGATGTCTCTGTGAACAATTCATCAGTTAAATGTTTTTAAACAGTTTGACCTTGTAGTTTTTAATCAGAATGTCTTAACTGAATCTCAGAAAAACGCCAGACTTCTCTCTGACGGATGCAGGACTTCAGCTATCAGCCTCCACTTTTGAGTGCAACATCTACATCTCAACGTACAATCAAAAACTGATTAATATAAACACTTAGTCCAACCCTCTTTTTCTTTTTCTGATAATCGGTTACATTCTGATGTATGGAAGCCTCTTTCCGCCACTGAAAAAAAAAAAAAAAAAAAAGGTAATTACAACTTTTTATTTCACAATTCAGAATTGCATGATATAAACTTGCAATTGTGAGTAATATTATATATTTTCTTGCAATTACCTTGCAATGCAGTTCTGAGAAAAAAAAGTCAAAATTGTGAGATAAAAAGTTATAGCCGTTATCTTTTTTTATTCAGTGGTGGAAACAAGCTTCCATATGAATGTACGTCACAATATGAAAGAATCTATGAATTCTATTTCATCTTTAAGCAAATTAAACAATTCAAAGAAATACAGATGGACTGCTAAAGAAAAGACAATGTTTGTGTGTCCTTGTGTCTTCTCACAGAGAGGCAAACGAGTGACACAATGACCTGAGAGAAGAACAACTCAATAATTCTGTTGCTATAGGAACTGAAATATATTTAGGGAAAGCATGCAAAATACATGCATTTTTATGGCCAGTTGTCCTTCTCAATTCACCTGCCAAAGGTGGTGAATATTCTGGGCCCTTCACATGCTCTTTTCTTTTCATGGCATATTTTTACTGTACAGTCTTTGTCACGATACATTCTGTATGTAAAAATCTACACTTAAACTCTCACGCAGGTCAGTACATCATCCAGAAGGTGGTTCCCCAGGCCTCAGGCGAGAGTTCAAAGGTTAAGGTGAAGGTGCGAGTCAATATCCATGGGATCTTCAGTGTGTCCAGTGCTTCACTAGTGGAGGTGCAGAAATCTGAGGAGGAAGAGGAGAGCATGGACACAGAGCAGAGCACAGAGAAAGAAAATGAGGTATTGCATTTGCAGCAGGATAACACCGTTCACATGCTGTCTCTCCCGATTAAACTCTGCTTTAACACTTTCATCACGATCTGTATTTTTGCATTGCTCCATGCTGTTAGTGCATATACTGTGCGGCAGTAGAAAACATTCATACCTCATAGATTCATAGATGTTCTGGTGACGTTACCACGATGTGTTTTCAATCATTCACAGAGCAAAATGCAGGTTGATCAAGATGAACAAAAGACTCCAGGGACCGGAGAACAGGAAAATGGAGAGAAAAAAGCGGGAACAGAAGAAATGGAGGTAAATGAGATTCACAAATAACACCAATTAAATGACCCACATATTTAGGATCATTTGATAATCATGCATATTACTATCCATACTATGGGTGTGCGATATTTATCGTCTGTGATATGTTGTTTTAAATGATATGTGAGCTGACATTATCAAGTATGTCACTCACTCTGCTTAAAAACAAACAAAAACACATCTTGAGAGTCCAAAAGCATTCACTGTGTGATGAAGCCTATTACAATGCATTTAAAATTACCCTATAATTCAAGATATGAAAGGAAAAAATATCCCCGTATGAGTTTTTGTTTGTTATATTTATATAGTTAAGTAATATCACTCAAGCCATTTTCCTAAATATCAGCGCGATCGCGAATGTGATGTTAATTTTATACAACAGTTTCGCTAATGAAAATAGTTCCAATCAAAGCCGGATCAGAACATGTGTGCGTCTCAGAGCAACACTGCGATGTTTCCTTCCTGAATTAATCTGTTTTTGGACAAATCATTTGAGTCAGTGATTCATTCGGAAAGGCAGTCACTTGCTTCATTTCTAAATGAATCAGCTGTTTTCATCGTTTTAATTAATGATTCAATGACTCACTCATTAAGATATGGACTTGCTGCCACCTACTGGTTATTTTAGTGTCATATTTATTAATCTATGACAGGCCTAAACCAGCCAACATGCATGCACAAAAACACACTCAGCAAAATATCATTACCGAAATAATCCCAATAAATATTCAGATAGCATTTTTTTGTCAGTATCACACACCCCTATTTCATACGCCCATCATATAACTAATAACGGTTCTTTCCATGGATTGTGATTTGTTCAGACATCAGTAGAGGAAGGCAAACAGGAGAAGAAATCAGATCAGCCTCCACAAGCCAAGAAGCCCAAAGTGAAAACAAAGGTCCTGGAGCTGCCCATCGAGAACAACCCACAGTGGCAGTTAGCCAATGACATGCTCAACCTCTTCATGGAGAGCGAGGTATGCTTTCTGTGCAGATGAGAACTGGGGAAACGTTTTCAACGGTCAGTTCAATCTACTGTGAAATTATTTTTCCTCAGGGTAAGATGATCATGCAGGACAAGCCTAAAACCCCCTTAGCTGTTATAAATTCACGGCTTCTTGGGGCTTATTGCTTTTATAAAACGGTTATTCCATATACGTATTCCATATACGTCTTTTTCTTCCACCAAACAATGTAGTTCGTCAGAAACAGTTGTGGTTCCAACAAAGTGGTTGTCGAGCAACAGACAAACGTAAACAAAGGTGTATGTTTGTAGTGTAATTTACAACAGCTTCGAACACGGCTCAGCCAATCAGAATCAAGGACCGGAACTATCTGTTTTATAATAGGGAATTTACAAATTGCGAAATGTCTTGAAAAATCTTGAAGCAGTTTATATAAATGAAGTAAAAGAAATTGTTAAATATGTGCATGAAACTATTTTTAAATCCTTGTCTAGTAATCACAAAAGACTGGAAAATTTCTAGACATTCGTTGGTCAGAAGGTGTTTTATACCACTATTTAACCTAAAGATCAGACTTTTTGTTGTTATTTTGCGGGTATTAAAAATTAATTAACTTTATCCTAGCTGTATTTCATTTAATGTACTAAAATAACTAAATAAAAAAAATAAAAAACTATCGGCATATTTTAAAAAAATATTGAAAATAATAATAATTATTTTGAATTCAATATTTTTGAAAATATTGAAAACACTCAATTAAAATATTAATAAAAAAACGAAAAACTACTAAAAAGCGAGCTCAGTGCATGATTGTTATTTTAGTATTATTTATATATTATCATAGTATTTTGTTTTTTTTTAAGTTTAAATAAATGTTCTTTTGTCAATTTTATTTAAAAAAATATATATGGCTTTAGTTTTATTTTGGTTTTAATCATTTTAGTACTTTCAGTTAGTCGCTAAGGCAGTATTTCTAATTTAAGTTTTTCATCTAATATGTATATTTATTTTATATCAGCGTTATTTTAATTAACAACAATGATTTTAATAGTTTTTTTTATGAATGCCAACAGTGGTGTCTGACTCTGTGTTTTCTCGCAGGACAGAGATGCTCTCTCATTAAAACTGGATGACACTGAGGTCTGGCTGTATGAGGACGGTGAAGACCAGCCTAAACAAGTATACATTGACAAACTGGTTGAACTGAAGGTACTAAACGTCTTTTGAGGTCTAGCATTTATGATGTAAGCTGATGTGAATGTGTACAGCTAACCAAGCCAGTTACACACAACACAAACAGCACTCAGTCACCAAATTATATCCACTAAGTGCAAAGTACTGGTTCTTTACACATTGCAAATTATACTTGCGTCATGCGACGAAGGGCCTCTTTAATGTATTAAAAATGTTCTTGCAGAGACTCGGCCAACCCATTCAAGAGAGATACACAGAATTTGAGGAAAGACCCAAAGCTTTTGATGAGTTGGGCAGACTTTTGCAGCAATACATGAAGATTGTAGAGGCCTACAAAACCAAGGTGAGGTTGAGCTGGATTAATGTTACATAAGGTACAAATTTGCACCTGCCTAGTGCTTCATGTCTTTTTGAATTACAGGAAGAGCAGTATGACCATCTGGATGAGGCTGAGGTTCAGAAGGTGGACAGGATGGTGAACGACGTCATGATCTGGATGAACAGTAAAATGAACCAGCAGAGTAAACAGAGTCTCGCCGTGGAGCCTGTGGTGAAAACGATGGAGATACAGGCCAAAGCACAGGTCAGTCACAGTTAGATGGACTTCTTTTCTGGAGTACACGAGTATGTCGTCATTCCGCAGCATGGTACATATCAAAGTGCTTTGGTAGGACTGGGCAGTATGACAGTATAGTTACCACAGAAATTTTGCTATATCGTTTATTTCGCGGTATGCAAATATATCAGCGTAGCACAGTACTACTTAAAAGTTATATACACCTGACCTAAGAATAATAAAGAAACATGCACGAATGAGAAAATAAAGAGTGGGACGTGCTAGATGTTAAGTAGAGTTATTAAGTGAAATAAGCAGTGAAGACACAGAACCGCCTCTCAGACAGCATGTGATTGTGAATTCAGATCTCTCGCGCATCTTATTGCGCTTGAATAGTCAAATACACACAATTATTTCAAAATGCCCGTCATGTGGAGTATTCATGTAAACACAGTCGGTTAAATAAACGTAAACCGTTTGGTGAAAACTGGATGCGTTTCAGTATATTGGATCTGTGCAGTGGGTCTTAAAGTGACAGCAGCCTACTTTACCAGCTGCTGTCTGTCATTAATGTTGATCACACAACAAAAGATGATTGCATTGACGCATTGATGCATCGATTTAAAAAAGTGTGAATCAGGTGCAAGTTGGCTTTTGTGTCGCGATGCATCATTTCTAACATATTTGCATTGGTAAAAACCAATTTATTTATATATAATTATTAGTAGATGCGCTATACTTTTATTATTTAGAAAGTGAACAATAATTTGTGACCTATATTTTATATGTAGATTGATTTCTCGTCTCTAAAATGTTTATCAAGCGCGTTCTCTCATCACCACTACTGCGAATATAGTGAATATAACGTATCGCAACACTAAGGAGACCGGCGCGCTAGAAGTCAGAAGGCACTTAATTTATGATTTGTTGTCTATCTGAACCAAAGAAATAAAAGTCTATTATCTTTACCATATTGAATTGCATAGCATCATATTTTGTTTCTATTGCATTGTATTGCGTTGAACTGAATCGAAATCGTATTGCACTGCATCGTAATAGGGGTGAGTCACATAGTAGCTGCTTCATATGTTTCTTTTTTAATGTATCGTATCGTTGGCTATGCATCAGGATGCGTATCGCATCGGCCTCAGTTACAGAGATGCTTTTTTTTAAAGATTTTGGTCATATTGCCCACCACCATAATACGGTATTGCTATCTGACACCATAACTGTACCAGGTTAATACGTTCGTATTCAATCTCTTTGCATTTTCCACAGGAGCTATTCTCCACTTGCAATCCTGTTGTGACCAAACCCAAGCCCAAAGTGGACTTGCCAAAAGAGGAGAACCCCTCAGAACCGAACGGGCCGGTCAATACGCAGGAAAACCCTGAAGCCCAGCCCAGCGGCACAGAGCAAGCAGCTGCGGACAGTGCAGACGCTGCAGAAGCCAAGCCGGACATGGACCTAGATTAACCTAGATGTAATGTTACGTTAACGTTACACGTTATGTTATGTAACATAATGTTTTGTTAATGTTAACTTATGTTTCCAGTGACTGCTATTGCTAAATCATCATCCTCACGGCGGGGTGACTCTGCCAATAAGAGAAAAAGGCTACATTTGCATGTCCTTTTATATTAATAAAAACATAAATCATGATGCTGTACGACTGCTGATTGAGAACAATTCTGTCTGCCTACGATTGAGTTTCTGTTATATGCTGGCTCTGTCAACTGTTGTTTCAATAAATATGGATTGAAACATATGTACATGCTTATATTGTGGAATTACTTTAACATAAGGCTGTAATGCAGTTTGCTTCGCCTTTTGATTTATAGTTTACTTCAACGCACAGGCCAAAGCAGGTGAATGCAAAAGGAAATGTTAAAATATTTGTCAGCTTTACCCAAGGAGCCGGTGCTGCAAATAGTTTGTAAGTGCTTTATTGCACATTCACCATTTTATGTTCGCCTTTGCACATCTTGGTTTACTTTGTTAGAGTGAGCAAACCCTGCATCACTTCCATTGAAACACCTGATTGTCAGTTTTCAAAATGTTTTCGTTTTTCTATGGCACGTTCCACAAATATGGTAGAAATATTAAACATCATATCACACTTACATGTGGATTTTGGCCTAGCTTTTCAACTTCATTACAAAATTTAAAGCATGCGACAAATTAACAGTCTGTTGAACTGATATTCAGTTTGTTGTTATAGTAATTTTTTTAAATTATGACCAAAATAACAGTGTCCCAAGGTTTTGCATTCAACCCTGTTACGGCTTAATATTCCACTTAAATTAACAACATTAATTTAAATTTGTAAAACTTGTGACACCCAAGAAATATCATCATTTGGACACTTTCAACAGAATGACGGCAAGTAAATAAGCTTAACCGTTCACCCCGTTACAAAGTTATTCTAAGCTCTTTTCTATATTTAGCCATTTATCGTTGTAAAACAAAAGGTGTTCCCACACAAGCAAGCCCCAACTGAGTGATATCTTAAATTAGGCTAAATTACCCATTATGGTGTAATTTAACTTAAAAAAATTATGTTGCCTATTCGGCTAATGTTGTATTATTCGGTTGTTTATATTTGTTGCCATCTAAATCACACAAATTAGGGTTTTAACCGCATAGCAACACCCTAGCAACCACCCCGAACACCTTAGCAACCGCATAGCAACACCCTAGCAACAGCATAGTAACACCCTAGCAGCCGCATAGCAACAGCCCCGGGTACCCTAGCAACCACATAGCAACACCCTAGCAACCATCCCAGGTACCCTAGCAACCGCTCTAGTAACCACCCCAAGTACCCTAGCAACCGAATAGCAACACCTTAGCAACCACACGGGTATTCTAGCAG